ATTTTCCATGTCTTTTTCTGATCTGACGATCCACGTTGTGTCGTCCATATATGCTATTGCAGCTTGTCGAGTATAGGCGCAGATGGATTAACGTGAACAGTTGTTGCACAAAATTGATTCGTTTCATTCTTTGTTTAGCTGCTGGAATCATAAATCCGAGACCGTACTCGTATTCGATTTCTGTTGGTAATGGAATCCGGAAATTTACTCGAATGGTATCTAGCTGCGACTTAAAAAACAATGCAACCCAAAATGGAAACTACAAATCTACTATAAATCGAGCGATGCATTTGTTTACATGATGACTTCCTTAAATTGAACATGAATCAATTGGTTTTCCTAATGGGATAATACGGTTGCACACGTTTGATTGAACGATTGTTTTCTCGGGTGTCCTTTGTATGTTTACCCGGCAAAATTAAATGTAAGGTTCAATCATTCATCGTGCATTGTATAAATTATCAAAAAACAGATTTAAAAAAGTTTCACAATCTTATTATGCAGTTGTCCACAGACCCACGCATATGCATCTTTTTGGGATTCTTTGTTTGTAACCTCCAGAATCTTTCACACGTAGCTAGTGACACACGCAAATTACTACAATCTACAAAAGAAATTCATTCAACATTTTTTAAAGGTAGGCAAATCATCTCGGTCTTTCAATTTACCATTTATTGTTACCATTCACTACTATATTCACACGTTTCACCCATGCAATTAAAAAATTTTTTTATCTCCATAATTGTAATACCTTTACATGCACCCTTCCGTTTTACTTTTTACACTTATATTTCTGAACGATTAGAAAAAAGAAGAATTTTGATATCGAAATTTCGATATTTCTCTGTAAAAAAGAAAAAATACTTGCATGCACATGTATTCAGCATATTTCCTAGTTTAAAACTTTAAAATTTCTTGTAAAAAAAATGGTTTATAGAAAAGTCACCCTTAGGGTATCATGGGTATTCTTACTGACACTTTCATTATCAATATTCATTATTATCGATGCCGGCATCTTGAACCTAAGATCCGGCAACACTTTTACATACAATAGAGAGAACTTTGTTAAACGTCTTTTATACTTTGACGATTCATCACCCTCTATTTTAGCACAGAATAATTCTGCAAAGATACAAGATCGAGAATGTCAAAATGACGTGGATTGCTATAGTGGAATTGGTACCAATATTTCGTCGATACTAGGAGATTACGCATGCGTGGACAACAAGTGTAAATATGTTGTTGCTGCTGGTAAGATGATCGTTTTGAGAGGGTGAGAGAGAAGAACATGAAATCATGATTTAATAATAATGTTTTTTCTATTAGGGGAAAGATGCAACATTGATTCGGACTGCGCCGCCTTCCTATACTATTCCCGAGGAAATCAAACCGTCAACAACACTCTGTGTTCTGCTAGCAACTGCAATCTAAACTCGGAATGTAGTAGCGCGTGGGATCCAGAAAAATTCAAATCACCTTTACCCCACTTTGACAAATTAATGTGTTGTGGTGGTATTAAGGAAAACGATAAATGTCTTATGGTCGCAACGAACGTTGATCCGTGCGATTATGGCTTGGGTTGTGAGCTCAACGTTCAAGGAAGTTCTACCGACCAACTACAATACACATGTGTCTCCAAAAAAAATTCTGTTATGCTTGGCGTAATTATTTGCTTGATCGGTAGCACAGTTTTGAATATTGGATTGAATATACAAAAATATGCGTTCACCAAGCATCAAGAGGAATTCAGTAAGCAAGAGTTGATAGTGGAAAGTCTCAATGAAGAGGTGACTATCAATGTGAGTGACGGATCGATCAAGCAGAAAGGAGGTTCGCCCTTATCGTTAGGTGCAAATGAAGTTGAACGTGGAGAGATAATCGTCGAAAAACGAACAAGTATGGTTGAAAGCACGAGAGGAACAAGCAATAATATCGAGCATTCTCGATTGTATAAGAAAATGGAAAAATTTATGTTTTGGAAGCAGATTGTTGTGTCGCCAGTAAGCTATTAGATATTTTCATTTCCCAATTTGCACAAAAGAGATTTCTTTAAAACCTTTGTACCTTCATTTATACCAACAGTTATGGGTCGTTGGGTTTCTAATTTATTTAGTCGGCACGATGATGGGATTCATTGCCTTACAATTCGCTCCGCAATCCTTGATCGCCCCACTTGGTGCCGTCTCACTTGTCACGAATCTTTTAATTGCACCCATACTTCACTCCCAAAAATTAACATTTTTTGACATTTTCGGTGTTGTCGTAATTATTGGCGGTAGCGTGGTGATTACCGTGTTCTCTGGAGTTGTCTCTCAAGGTCAATCAAGTGTTTTGCAGAATCCATACCTTTTTCTTTTATCTGCAATTATATTAATTCGTATCTCTCGTTAATCACCTGTGCACACATAAAGACTACAAATTGTGCGTCTTAATGGCTTTGTTCCGGCGTCCTTCCACGATCATATACCTTAGCATAATATCCTGTTTCATCGCCATACTTATTTTTTTTATTAAATTGGAGTCGAGAAATGCTGAAACAGATGTGGATGATTTCAGTACACCAGAGACAACTTCTGAGAATCATAATGATAGAAGTTCACTGGAAAAATGGTCAATACCGAAATCATCTGAGGAAAGGAAGATGCAAAACGAAATTTACCTCGATGATGACGAAAACATTAATAACATAAGGAGTCGTAGATTGACGTTAGTGTCAATCGAGGAAAGAGAAGAAGAAATTGATAATGTAGATTGGAATCGTAGGTACAGTGTAAAGAGCAATGGAGATAGTAAAAGCTTTTTGATCAAGAGGCGAGGATTTAGGGAAAAATTCTTGTTACCAATTGCATACGCCGTGTTGGCCTCTAGTATGGCGACACTGACGACCTTGTTTGCAAAGGTAAAAACAACAACGAGTGACAAATATCTTTGATTAATGTTAATCATCAGAAATATAATATCTATTTTCTTTTTTTCGAACAGTCCCTGATAAACCTATTAACACAAACATTTGTACATCAAGACAATCAATTCAACAATCTCTTATCTTGGATAATACTGTTGGTGACATCGGTGACTGCCGTTGGTCAGGTCTACTGGTTGAATATTGGCTTGAAGAAATATGACGCGTTGATTCAGGTTCCAATTTTCTTCTGTAACTGGAGCCTTTATGACATCATCGGTGGAGGTTCGTGAAATTTTCTAATTTGCTTTTCGTCAAACGGTCGTCCCGCTTGCTAACGTTTATTTGTGCTCACGTACGACTAAAACTGTGAATCCAGGGATTTATTATGACGAGTTCAAGAACTTTACAACCATAAAATATCTTGAGTTTGCTCTTGGCGTTATGATGATATTTTTTGGCGTGGTATTATTATCAAAGAGATTAGCGAAATTAACAAAGGAAGAGGAAGAGTTAAATGCCAGTCAGAAATTGGTTGAAAAGAAACTTAAAGAGATGAAGCGCGATAAGAACTCAAAGAATGAAGACGTTTAATCTTAAAAGAGAAATTCAAAGGAAATCACAAGGAATTAAACATTCTCTATTCTTAAATAACACTTGCAATAAAATTTATCTTGAAAAAAAAAAAAAAATCCAAATCAACTTCCGTGAATACATTTAACTTTTGCAGTAAAAAATGAAAGAGAAAAACAATCGAATAGCTTTAAACTTGAATCGCAACAAGAAGTAATTCATTTTACAATAAAGAAATACGTGAAAGTAAAATCATTACATTTGTCTGACTTCTTATAGATATGTAAATATTGAGTATAATAGACAAGTACCATGTCGCAATTTACACCTTTTGTAATTGATCTTCCAATTGTGCAAAGAGCTGGATAACAGAATCCAAGTTTTTCGCGTGGATTTCCGTGCGCGCTTTTTCCCTGTTGAAGAGACTCTGTGCGACAATTATTTGTTGCCTGATGTTTTCTACAATTTGATTAAAGTTTTCTAATCCCGAATTAGGTGTCAAGGATGAATTTGCGTTGTAGACGGTTAAGGAGGCCGACGATTTTACGACAGAACCTGACCGTTGATCTTGAAAATAGGTAGATGTTATGGGTCCTGAAACCAGGTGTTCCGAAGGCTCGAGAGACAATTCTTTTCTGGTCGAAACATCGTGGCGTAATGGTGACAATGAAGACTCTTTCAGTTCCGGAGATGACTGGTTTGATATTGAAGGGGGTGCGGAAAGTGATCTTTTCTCATTTGAGGTATGAAATGGGACCTTCGTTTCCTGAGCAGATGGGGATTGACGGGAGTCGGTTGATGTATGTACCCTCAAATCTGTATCTATATTGTGAGAAAGCGCGTCTGTGACAGTCATCTCACTAGAAAAATCATCAGGCATATGGTTCATCGATTCTTGAATGGGTGGCAAGATCACTTTGGCTATTCCAGATTCAGCTAGTTTCCGGGTCAATAAATCAGAGGTTGGTGATAATAAAACGCGAAATTTTCCAGATTCGTTAGAGTCTTGATCTGACGTAAACATCGTTGAATCGGAAGCAGACGGAAATAAACAATTTTCTCCCGCTAATTTTGATGGGTCATTCGTCGAAAATTCGGACGGGGCAAATAGAATATTAACACTCTCAGATTGGGATAATCCATTTCTCGTTGTTGGAATGAATAATTCGTTTACGGTAGCATTAAACTCTTGCGCAGCACTTTTATTAAAATCGGTTATATGTCGTGTCGCTGGGTCAAGATTAGGTGACGATGATGTGGTAGCTTCGATTTCCACATCTTTTACACAAGGTTCACGTATAGCTGCAGAAGATGAAATTTCCTCTTTCATAGATTTACCAGAATCTTTTATAGCATCGAAAGTCTTAACATCTGAAGGGCTGACTAAAGGTTGGTTTGGAATTTCGACTAATTTTCGTTGATCCGTATCGACTTCACACGTGGACGTCTGCTCAAGCGTGTTGGCATCATTTGATTCTATGAAACGATTATCGCTTGTATTCAAATCAAGAAATGTTTCAATTAAATCAAACAAATGAATTTTTTGATTATATTGTACGAGCAAATTTTGAAGCCTGCTTTTTAAAGTATCCGGTTTACGACGTATTGTAAACACTTTTTCGCTAAGGTTACTCAAATGCTGCCAGAAACTACGCCTGTCTTGACGAAAACTATCGAAGTTTTCACAAACGTATTTGACCAATCTGATGTCATCGTTCAGCTCCCATTTCCGTTGATTTTGATGATTTTGACCAACAAAACTTCGGTTATTACCACTCTGATTTCCCGAATTTCTCGAATTTCGACCACCATTATTTCTCGAATTTTGACCACCACCGGGATTTCCACCGGTGTTGGTACTTACCGAAGTGGAAGCGTAGTCAGGTTCCGCGTTCTCCACAAAACCATCATTATTGTGTGATGAACCAAAGTTGCTATAGTTCGAGTCATAGTTGTGACCGCGAAAACGATTTCCTCTTCTATTCTGACGTGTCATGATTTTATCAAAGCTGGTGAAATTAAATTATTTATCCGTGTACAGTACTCCTCACTGACTTACTGGGATTGGAAAATACAGTGAAGAAAACGTAACAAACAAGAAAAAATTCACAAAAATATTTATATACGTGTAAATGTTATGATGTCATGATAACCTACTTACTAATAATCACATATTGACAATGCATTTCACTTAAGAAACTTTACCTCCGGACAAGAAGAATGATTATGATGTCATCGACCTTTCGCGTAATCATTGTAAAGCCGATTTACCCATTACTGTACTGTATACCCTACACAATTGGCGGCTGACTTTAAAACGTAAGAACGAAAGTATTACGTAGAATAATCAATCGCTAGCTGATTATGAAAGTAGCATAATGCAAGTTAATAATAATGACTCCGATGTACGCAAAATTATGAAAAAATTAATAAAATAATTAATTAATGCTATTTTTTTTCGCGTTTTATAATTCCAAGTCATGTGAATTGAAAGAAAGGTTATGCGCATGAGCAGTACGTATTTATGCGACACATGAATTCTTATTTATCTAATAAAACTTAATATTATTTTTTAAAAAAAAATTAATATACTGTACATACATGACTTACACATACATACATACATACATACATACATATTAATTTATTTTTTTTATATTTTTTTATTTTTTACATTGAATATATTCGAATAATACATTTTATTTTTCTTATTATATGAAACCTATCATTTTTTTTTATAAAGATAATCTTCTTATACAGCATAAGGTTTAACTTTTTACCGTGTTACATTATGAAATATTATTGTGTCTCGATCTCGTATGATCTAGCACAAGGTTCACCTGATCATCGCATACATTATCTATTATGAGAAAAAAGAACATGTGCTCACTTCATTTGTCTGTACGAAAAGGGCTTCTTTCGGAGAAGAGCATCCGTCAAACCGTATGTATATAAAGCATTAACTGGAGATGTAATGCTTCGACGTACGATTATAAATTCTTTGATTTAATTAAATAAAATGAAGGACACATTTTCCAATGCCAATTTTCCCAAAACCGCGGATGGTCGTGTTTATCACGTCGGAGTTAAACAAGGCGAAGGTACGTGCGTGTAATTAAAAGTCATCTCTATCAACATCGCATTTTAATCGTTTGCTTTCTCCAACGCAATAGTTGCCAACAGGATAATAACGGTGGGTGATCCAAGTCGTGCTCAAAAATTAGCCGAATGGTTGGACAAAGACTTTCCAATATTTCAACACAGCAGTAGCCGTGGTTTCTTTACGCTCACCGGTAAATACAAGGGAGTACTCGTTAGTATTATCGCGATTGGAATGGTTAGTATTAGTGGTGTGTTCGAACAATTTTCATTTAGACCGAAATTATTAATCGATTTCAAAATTAGGGATTACCGATGATGGATTTTTTTGTTCGCGAAGTAAGAGCGATAACGGATGGTCCATTGATAATAATTAGATTCGGCTCATGTGGAACTATTGGGAAAGGTCATGTTGGAGAAATAGTTGTGCCTAGAGGTTCATTTTCTATTACCAGGAATTTTGATTATTTTTTGGATGGTGGGGATGAATACGGATACGAGAGTGCCGAGAATGTGAAAGAAACGGAAAGTGATTTAAAGCCTGGGAGGACTAACAAGAGGTCGAATACCGGTGAGACGAATTTACCAAGGAAGCGTCTTAAGAAGGAGGAAAGACCCTATATTCTGTCAAAGGTGGTCAATGCAGATTCAGAAATTTACGAGATGGTATGCACCTTTCTTCTTGGTCGAAATTTTATCTTACGCGCAATAAGACATTTCATTTATCTTTTTTCTTCCATAACAGCTACAACGTCAACTTCTTCTTCACCTGCCTCCAGATGAGGTTCACACCGGACTGAATGCATCGTGCGATAGCTTTTACTCGTCACAGAACCGCGAGGATGAAAACTTCACGGACAACAACAAAGGATTGATCAAATCTGTTATAGATGAGTATCCGGAGGCGGAATCATTAGAAATGGAAACTTTCATGTTGTTTCATTTGGCAAAATGTAGTACCGACGTACCACTCACCCGCAAGACACAAGCGGTCGTAAAAAATCGAATGAATAAGAACGAATGTTTAAATGAAAACAGTATAAGAGCAGCAGCTTTAATGATGGTCTTTGCAGATCGCAAAACCAACGAATTCGTCGATCCCAGTCAAGTGGATCATTTGGAGTCAGTTGTTGGTCAAGTTGTACTCGATACCTTAATATCCGTAAAGTCAAATGAGGTGTGTGTAAAGTCTGAAAAGCTACTGTCAGAGGAATGACAAGAATACATAATGTATATACTGTATCTATATTATCTATATTTACTGTATAATCCAGATTACTGTATTTGTACTTTTATGTATCAATAAATTTAAATGTACTGTTTAATATAAATACGTATTTGGAACTGTATAAATTTTACTAATCTGCTTTCAAAATGCACTAAGTAATATTTTAACATAGAAAAAAAATTTTTTTATCTGATATAAATCGAGACCAAAATCGGGCATTTTTATGATATGATATTTATTTCTCCTTGAAATTACAGTCACAAGTATGGCAATAAAAAGAGTAGTATCACTTCTACCCTCTGCCGCCGAAATTGTTTCTTTGATTATAGGTGATAGTTCTTCGGTGAAACTCGTGGGAAGAAGTCATGAAGATGATTTTCCCGAGAAAATCACAACCTTACCAATCTTAACTGCACCAAAGTAGCTTTCTCTTTTATCGCCTTGAAGAGAATTTTTTTTAAAAAAAAAAAAAACCCCCCACGTATTTATTGACACTTCAAAACGACAATTAGAACGAAATTCACTACATCCGCCGAAGTCGATGCACAAGTATCAAAATTACTTTCGGAGGGGAAAGATCTTTACACTCTTGATATTGAATTGTTGAAAAGCCTAAAGCCGGATGTTGTCGTTACACAGGTTTTCTTTAGCATCTACAAGCTTTTTACGCCTTTAAATGAAATTGCGCCTTCTCTGATTATTGATTGCATTCATAGGATCTATGCAATGTTTGCTCGATTGATTTAAACACCGTGCGGCGCGTTGTAAAACAGATGAACCCTGGTGCGTTTCTCAAATATTTTTATAATTAAATCGTCTGGTATCACTTATACAATTATTGTCCACAGAACCGTCTGTAGTGACATTGAATCCTATGTCAATTGAGGTGTTTTTCTTTTTTGTAAAATATTGAAGTGCATCTGATCTTGAATACTGAAATAATTTGTTTTATTATTTCCTGATCAGGACGTAATATCATCGATTAAAACAGTCGGTATTGCACTTGGGATGACATCAGAATCCTCGAAAGTCATCTCGGGGCTCAGATCGCGTATCAAAAACGCGCGCGATCTCGCTAATAGAAGCAACGAGTCAGGTAGAAAACCTGCCCGAGTTGCATTTTTCGAATGGACCTCACCGATTTATCTTGGTGGCCATTGGACTCCGCAGATAATTCGTTGGAGTAATGCAAGTGATCCTTGGCTATTAACAACCAACTTTCCAAAGCAACAAAAGGGAATTAATAAAATCATTCTGGTCAATTCAACAGGGTGTGCAGGTGGTCACTGACTGCAAAGATAAGGAAGTTGCTGAGATGGGAGCACCGCCATCGTATGTCGCATAACACACATAACAAATACACTACTTATTCATAATGTCTTAATGATTACATTTGTTCTTTACACAGAGTCCGAATATCACCACAGGACGTAATTTCGGAAAAACCTGAAATTTTAATAGTTTGTCCATGCGGATTGGACCTTGAAGCAACCAAGAGAGAGTACGAAGAAACATTACTACCTTCGGATTGGTGGTCGAAACTAGCAGATAATGCTTCTAAAATTGCGTTGGTAGATGGAAATCAAATGTTTAACCGTTCAGGACCTCGTAAGTCTCAACTTCAGTTTGCAAAGGTATGGTAAATCGTAATTAACGAAAACTTTTTTATTCTGAAGGTTTGGTGGATGCACTGGAGTGGTTGGTTGGATACATAAATGATATTCCCGAGATTATTCCAAAAAATTTTCCATGGCAAAATTTAAAATCATAAAGCTATTACAGTAATAGTCAAGTTAGTTCAAGTTGTAGATATTATTTTGTGAAGGCATGATTATAATAACTGAAATAAAGGTCACATTTAACCGTATAATAATCAATTCTTTTTAAAACCCGTGTTCTTATTAATAATTATCAATAAACAGAAAATTCCAAGTAGGAATGTGGCTTTTCGATTAGTTACTGACGTGGTGATAAATTCAATTGGTCAAATTTCCGTATGTTTGCTTCTCTACTTTACAATCATGTCCCAAACTGTCATCCTTCCGGATAGAGCGCAACCATTAGCAAACTATCCGCATGCTCGTAAGGTTGGAGGTTTTATTTTTGTTTCCGGAGTTTCTTCGAGGAGGTCAGACAATTCGTGAGTACCAAGTGCGAATGCTTCTATCCAGTAGGACTCATTATGGGAAATTTGATCTGGTTCCAATTTTTTTTTTTCTTAGATACGAAGGGGTAAATAGTGTTACAAGTTCATTCTTTAAATATGCATTGCACTACATACATTCACTTTCAAAAGGTAAAGGAGCTACCGACTGGAGCGTTTGAACTAGATATTCGCGAACAAACTAGAGCTGTAATTGAGAACATTGATACAATCCTTAAAGCATCCGGGGCGTCGTTGGAGAATGTGGTAGACTTAACAGTATTTTTAATAGACATGAAAGATTATTCTGGTTTTAACGAGGTTTACAATAAATATTTTGATGCGAAAACTGGGCCTGCAAGAACGACTGTGGCCGTTAAGGAACTTCCCTCGGTAAATTTCTTTGTAAATATGTTGACTCTGTTTCTTCGATAACCGTGTTATTGATTTGTTTAATAATAATTTTTAGCCAAAATTGTTAATTGAGATTAAAGCAACAGCTTGGGTCCCTTGAAATTGTCTGTGTAAAATGTATCACATGATATTTCATTATAAGATTACGTTATAAATAGGCAAATAAACTTATCTCCCTCTCTTTTAACATCCCTTTCGTCATGTCAAAGGTAAAAATACATCATTGCTTTCACAATAGGTTATCAGATGGTCATTAAATAACTTTGCTTTTTGAAACGAAAACAAATAACCAGGAATTCAAAGTTCTCTACTTTGCATCAGCTCGTGATGCTACCAATGCTTCATCAGAAACAATTCCTTTTCCGACTACAAATTTGTCTTTATCGCTTCAAGATTTAACAACTTTGTTGAAAGCTCGACATGAAAAACTTGGTCCAATACTTGATAACTCCATGTATGCGATTAATATGCAATATGTTGAAAAGAATGATACTTCTATCACTGTTAAACCTGACGATGAAGTTGCTATAATTCCACCCGTCTCGGGAGGTTAACGTTACGAAAGAAAAGAATAAATTTATTTATGATGCGATGTGACTTATTCTTCTTTGGGTGCCCAATAATTTCCGATGATTGGAACGTTTTGTAAAATTTCATTGCGAACCCTTGGGATTCTTTCGGCAATCAATGCCACAGCCGAACCTGCAGCCGTGCCGAACAGAATGACGGAAGGTGTCCTAATCAAACATATTCGTCTGTGAAAGTTTCATAGACAACAAATTCTCTACATATATACAACAAGCCTACCATGCTCGGAGCCTTTCGGGAGTGAACAAACGGTAGTGACGCTGAAATTCAATGCTTAAGACCATATCCAAGTGAAGTATGCTTTTCTAAAAAAAAAAAGATTTTCGGTCTGCGTATTTATTGGTGCATACATTCGGGTGTCACGAATTTCGCTCATGTGGCATCAATTATCAAAAAATAATAATTAATTTACAGTTTGAACTTCTACTTTAGCTTTTATAATTTAACAGCTAATTAATAGTACAGTGCAATACAACATTTTTTTAAATTCTAATTCTAAACATAATTTATATATTTAAAATCAATTATATATAACTTTTTATCAAAAAAAATTCTTAATTAATTGATTAATTATATATAGTTTATATACAGTATGGAACACTTGCTTTTGGAAAAAAATTTTTTATTATTTTTATCTATAAGTAAAAAAATTATTAATTAATTATTATAAACTTTATATATAATATAT